TCCAGTCGTTCCCAGCATTTTATTAAAGAAAAACTAGACAGTGGTCTAGTAAGTGTCGATCATGTATCATCAAAGGATCAACCTGCAGATATCCTTACTAAAGGATTGGACAGTTCTGCCTTCCTCAGAATGATTGACAAGTTGGGGATCACCGATCCATATTTTCCAGCTTGAGGAGGAGTGTTGAAATCCAGTCGTTCCCAGTGCAAAAGATCCGACGGACGCAAAGACCAATCCGTGGGATACTCTCATGGATTATGCCATAATGAAGGAACGAATTTAGGAAAAATTGTTATGTATTATTTATGTATTAAATCTGCAATTTATTATTTCCTCATTGGGATATCTTGTATAGATCTATAAATAGGGAAGATTGTAATGAATAATTTCAAGCTTTCCCTCTCAAATCCTCATTTTTAACAATATCACTAGCCACTTTTTTCTACATAATATTAGCATCCTCATGCACAGACAAAATCTTAAGATCTAAAATCTTACTCTCAAAAATATTTTTGTTAGTAGTCTTTAAATGCCTCCATCTAATCCTAGAATACCATTTTACTTTATTTTTTATTTTCTACCATTTTATCTTAACGTCCAAAACTAATAATCAATGTTGATTACATAAATTTTCACTCGGAATAACTTTACAATCTTTGCAATTTAAACGATATGATTTTCTTATAAGAAAATAATCAATCTGAGTTGTACTATATCCATTTTTATAAGTAATGAGAAGTTCATTCATTTTCTTAAAAAATCTATTAGCAATTAAAAAATTATAAGCTAAATAAAAATCTAATATGGTCTTGCCACCTTCATTTGTCGTTCCAAACCCATGGCTGTCATAAATGCTTTTAAAATCATCTACCTCTCTACCAACATGTCCATTTAAATCTCCTCCAATAAAAGCTCTTTCTTTAAAAGGTATCTTTTTTATTAATTTTTCTTAGTCAATCCAAAAATTTAATTTAGAACTCATATCCAAACCTACTTGAGGAGCATAAATACTTATAATATTAACAATTTTTGCATCAACAATAATCTTTAAACCTATAATTCTATCTTCAATCTTATTAATTTTTATAGCATTATCCTTCAAACTCTTATCTATAATAAACATATACCATTTCTAGTACAACTCTTACCCAAATACCAAAATTTAAATTCTAAACTATCAATTTCCTTAGTCTTCTCTCTAACCCATTTAGTTTCCTGAATGTACAAAATATTTAACTTTTTATGAATCATAATATCTATTAGTTCTATTAATTTTCCTGTAAGGGAACCTATATTTCAAGTTCTTATTCTAATTTTAATTTCATATTTTTTAGTTTCCTAAACTAGCTTCTTTGTCCACATCTATCCTTGATGTGAGAACCTTTGCCTATTTAACACTACATCTGGGCGCCGGTGCAGCGACCCTTGCACACTTGTCATTGTATTCAGGCGCCCTAGCATTAATACAATTTCTTAAATGATTCATGTCATTATTATTCGACAAATTTTACACTGGTTGTCGACTACCTAACGCAACTCTCCACTTTTCTCATCCAGGACTTAGGACCTGGCAATGGCAGTGTTTATTAAATAAATGAATGTTTATGAAAATTAATGAAAGTTAAATAAATTTTTATGGTTATGAATTTCTTTAAGTTGTACCAAAGATCGAGGACTTGAAAGAACAAAGTGGGTATTAAAAGAATTTATTTTTATTGTATTTTTCTATTTCATTTTGAAAGAAGCAAGTTATATAAGTATTTTAAGACTTATATTTTTTATTTTGAAAATTATTACATATGAAATATACTAATATGTGAAAGAAAATACATATAAAGAGAATACGTGCAAATGAAATATAAAGTAAAATTAAAAGCATTTGTATAAATATAAGATGCTTATATGTATATCAAAAGTATATATGAATGAATGATATACGAATGAATGAAAATTAAATGAAAATAAAAGAAAAAGGAAAAGGATATGCATGCAAATTACAGGACTTCATTCCCGTATGGTACTGGCTAGGAAAGCAATATACCAATGCACATTAAAAAGAAAAAAAAATGAAAATGGAAATTATTATATCTTAATTGGTACATTTAGACGGTGCTCCTGTACAAATGAAAAATGATTATGAAAATGAAGTAAATATCAATCTGTTAAAATAAATGTTACGTAAAAATGGACTATAGAATTTTGATATTTTATAATTGATAATGATTACCCACTGAGTTTATATGGTAAACTCAAACCACAAATTAATGTTTCAGGTAGATCTCCAAAGAAAAAGAAATGGCAGAAAGAAAATAATATGTTTATAGAAGATGACACATCAATGAAAATATATAAATTATGACTAATGAAATTATTAGCTTTGATAAGTTGAAAAATAAATTTAATGGAATATTACTTGTATTCATGGCTCTTTAGTTGGATAGAGAAGTCTTTATGTTATTTTACTTATAAAAGAAATGAAAAATTACTATAGTCCGATTTTTGTTTCCACCTTATTAGTTCGAGCATCCTAATAAAGTCTATCATGACATGAACAGCGGTTTCAATGTTCATGAGTGAACAATTATGTCACTGACCCGGCTTGAAATGCTCGAACTAATGAGGCGGGAACGAAAAGTAGAACGGTAGTAACAATTTAATTCATATCATAAATAAATTAACATACAACTTCTCAAAGCAACTAAAGAGTCATTAATTTCGAAAATATTTTTTTCAATCTATGTCAAAACTAAGTATTTACATCAGTCATAATTTACTTGTTTTCATTCCTACGTTGTCTTCTATAGACGTACTCTTCTCTTTCTGTCATTTCTATTTTCTGTGGAGACCTACCTGAAATATTAATTTAGTGGGTTGAATTTACAATGTAAACTTAATGAGTAATCATTATCAACTATAAAATAATAATACATATATATTATAACATATATACATCTTATACTTTTTTCTTTCTTAATATCAAATCAATATACATATATCTTTCATGTATTATAAACCTTATAATCTCATATAAGTTTTTTTTTAATATTTGATCATAATTGTCCATTTCCATTTAACATTTCTTTTAATAGTTTTGACATTCAATTCATTTTCATATTTATTTTCATTTGTACATGAGCACCGTCTAAATATACCAATTAATATACAAACATTTCAATTTTCCTTTTTCATTTTCATTTAACGAACACAAGTACGTTGTTTCCTCAGCCAGTATCATACGGGGCTGAACTCCTGTAATTTTGCATACATATTATTTTCCTTTTTCATTTATTTTCATTCATTCATTCATATATATACTTTCTAAATATATATAATTATTATACAAGTATTAATGCTTTCTAACTTTACTTTCTCTTTCCCTTATATGTATTATCTTTACATGTATTTTCTTTCACATATTCGTACTTGTATAAACATTTGCTTATTTCAAATAGTTTTGAAAAATAATTATAAGTCTTAAAACACTTAAATAACATGCTCCTTTCAAAATAAAATAGAAAAATACAATAAAGATAAATTCTATAAATACCCACATTGATTCTTTCAAGTCCTCGCTCCTTGACACAACCTAAAGGACACACAATCATTTAAATTTATCATTTCTTCAATTAACTTTTCATAAATATTCATTTAATTAATGCTTAATTCAAATCTCAATATTTTCTTTCTTGATGAATGCTTGAAGAATCGAAATCCTATAATTTGATCTTTTTCTTTCTAAAATCTCTAAAAGCATACAATATAAACTTTCATGAAAATAAGATTTAAATAATAAAATTTAATAATAATTACACGATAAAAAACTCACTTACAGTAGAAATTTTCCCAAAATCCTTCCTCTTTTTCTCTCAAAATCTCTTCTCCTCTCTTCCAATCTCTTTCTTTTCCCTTATGAAAACATCACTTGCTTTAGATGAAGCAAAATAAGAGAATTTATACAAAAATGGAAAGAAAAAAACTAAAACTTTCTTCCTTCTTACTCTCGGTCGTTCTTCTCATTCACTGAGATTTCTTCCAATTTACCGTTTCTTTAGCAATAAGAATGAAAAGGAGTTGGTGATTCTTATCCCTAAAAATGATCAATTTTTAAAAATGACGAAATGAACTCTCCAACCTCCTCTGCGCACACGTTCGTCCGCTCCCTATCGCGTCCGTCTTCTGTTCGCGGAATTAATAGGTGGTTGGCCAGTTCAATTGAACCGACCGGCTAAACTGATTATTACAATTTATTTTGTTGCTCAGCCAACAGTAATTTTTCTTTAATGCAAGTAATTTAATGGTTGAGTCAACATCGATTCTATGCTCTATGAACGATAATTTTGATATTGAGGTGAAAAAGGGCTTTAGTTATGGAAAAACAGGGAAATTACTTTTGGCAGTTAATTTCAATGTGATCCTTCAAAAAAAAGATTCAAAACTGTAACTTTTACACCAATTTCATGCATAACAACCTTGAAAATAAACTGAAGGATAATGGATAAAATTTTAAAAAAAAATCATAGAAGTAACTACATTAGCAAGTTTCGTGTCTATGAGGAAATAACATATCCTAAAAGTAATTCATGCAATAAATTCAGGACTCAAAAATCTCATATTTTAAAAAGAATAGATAACAAACAACTGATAACTTGCTAAATAATTACTAACTGATAAACTACTAACAAACTGTTAATAAACTAAAAAATGCCAACAAATTTATTAACACATAAGAACATCTAAATGAGATAAAATAACTTCAATATTCGTGATAAGATAAAACTTTGAAATTTATGTGCACATTTTTAAGTGTTGTGCACAATGAGGTGGTGTACCAACAACTCGTCTTTTTTATGATAGGCAGTATAGAGATGTTAAAAATGTATTAATTTAAATGGGTGCAAAGAGCATTTCTTTATACTACACTCTGGCTTTAATGTAAAAAGAATGAAAACAATGGATAAGAGAATTTAAAAAATCATCCAAGGATAGAAGAATCAGCATACCATTGTTACCTGAAGAGATGACTTGGCAATTGAAACAAGAGGTAATATATCAAAAGCCTTTGAAGAAAGCACAATCATCGCTTTTGCTAGAGTGAAAAGAGAACGTCGCCGTGATGGAGGTAAGTAACCTGAAAATGATTTAGATAAATCAGCAACCATTGATGATGTGGTAATACATCAATGATTCAACAAAGTATTTTGAATATAAATAAAATATTTAAATATTGCATATTATGTTTACACTTCCAGATAAGGTAGCAATCTCTAAGGTTAGTTATAGAGGAGTCTACATGATATGTGATTTCACATCTTCAATAGATAATGCAGAAGCCACCATACTGTGCCATCAAGATCTTTTTATTCTTAAAAAATGATATATGACCCATTCCCATTGACACGATTGTGCTAATCTGCAATATAAGAAAAACCTCCTGGATACTGGACCATGAGAAGACCAATGTCCCGTCAAATACGGTAAACATCTGTTGAATATCCCAGTCAACATCAATGACTACAGGTTCTTCCCTTCTTTTATCATCGTTTAGACAAATTTCATCATATAACTGGATGGCAACAAAATTTTGTTTACAACAGAAATTTGGTCTTTGATGCACATCAATTTGGCATGTTAGACATAACATAACACAAGAAGATGAATGATTTTCACCAAGAAAAAGATAACAAACAAGTTTGTTTTGCGAACATATGCCCTGCCCACAAGCACTATATGCACCTTGTACTTCTCTTTTTAGAATTGTTTGAACCTTTATTAATTGACTGTCTTGTTTTCTTGGCTTATGAAGCATTTACACGGAATTTTCCTTTTCTAAACAAACCTTCAAGGAAGCTAATGGACGCATAGGTCATTGAAACTCCAACTTGCAAATTAAGAAACTAAGTTAGTTTTTCTTGCTCGGAAAAACTACACCTCCCCGGCTTGTAGTTGAGCAGTACTGACAGCAGAATCATATTAGTGTTACTTTTATCATATGAGGCCCGTGGTTACTGCTGAAGAGCTGCTCCATCTAGGTTGGTTAAACAACTAGAAATAATATGAAATGATAGAGAGTTTATTACTGAGCTTTTCAAGTAATTTTCTACTTCATATTTTCAAGCAAATTAATAAAGTGAAAAACTGATTAATTATTCTCCGTCAAATGAGTCCAAGAAAATACAAATTAAAGCTGGATGCAAATAAGTAATCCATGGGTCTTCAAATGCAAAAACTTCTCAGCAAAGGCTAATGTTTGAAACCTTCAGTAGGGAAAAAAAAACATAGTTTTCCTATTCTTTTCATGCTAAAAGTAGCATGCTTGACAAACATTTAAAACTTATAATTTTTAAGGCTCTAAAAAAGACATGGTAAACTAATTATGCTAGAAACTGCCAAATCGGTTTAGAATAAGGTCTACAGTACCTTCTCGAAGGGCAATGCTTCTCAAAGAAAATGCAAGTTGATAGCTTCGAATAAGAGTGTCCTGAAATGAGCTCTGCATTAAAATAAATGAGTTTCCAATCACCGACAAACACCATAAAACATTTTTGGTATACTAATTAGATCTACTAATGCATTAAACAAAAAAAAAAACTAAAAAAGTGGGGAAAATAGATTGCAATAACACGACAAAGGATAGCACGGTTCTAGCAATTATGAAAAGCTCCAACACTTCCACAAGCAAAGTCACCACCAAGTTTACCAGTACCATCATTAGTAAATTTGTATAGCTCGTCATGAAACTAAAAAAAATAAATTATTACATTAACTTATTAACAAAGAACGAGAATGCTCGACTACCTTTGTACGAGAAAATATAAGTATCAAGCCGTAGGTATTAGCAATCGCTTCATAGTTTTGTGGAGTGTTTTCTGGACAAAGAGCTTGAGCCCATATCGATGACAGCAAAAGGTTGATCTGTCGACCACTCAACCTAAGTAACACTGTGTCCTGAATGTTAATCCATGGAAAGGAATTCAATTTGCTTGCAATGAAAAGAAAATAGTCCTAAACTTGGAGAATGACATACCCGTTCTCTCTCATCAGGTTTGCTCTGAGGTTCATGTTCTTCTGTCAAAGACAAAAAAGGGTCTTCCATGCTATAAAGACGATTTTGAGTTGAAAGACGTTTATAAAGTTTTGTGCTATCACTACCAATTTCCTGCCCATCATTTCTATGGTTAATTTTGTCGAGATCATCTATAGATGCACGATCTTGGAAGGAATGCATTTCCCTTCTTAGCTTCTCGAAAAGAGTTGCCGAGGATGAAAAGACAGAAACTGTCCTAGAGAGTGTCCTATGAAGATCATATGCTTTGGGTAGTTCTGAAGCGGCGGAACACATACGAGGTCGTACTGAAGATGGAACAAGAACATCACAAAAGATACGGTGTGCTCCGACATGGGTTTCACGATCTGGATGAACCATTGCCAAGAGCAATTGATGAAATAATGCTTCTGGAAAAACCTGTATTAGGAATAATTAATGAAATAAGGAAAAAATGCAAAACAGGAAGAGTATAGTGTGTTAGTCAAGAAAATTACCTTCTTCTGATAGGAAATATTTGGTGCTGATGCAATCATTTCAGCTGTACGATAAACAGCAGAAACAGTTGACCTAGCAACAGGCACGGAAGTTGATAAATTTTCCAGTGTTACAGCCAACATGTCAAGAACAGGTCCAGCATCTCCAACCTGAAATTGAAAAAAAAATAGTCATAGCCTTATGAGAAATGCTATCAAAAAAAAAAAAAAAAATTAAAGGCTACGCTAAATGACAGGAAGGGAACTATAATGAAATTCTGATAGTTTATGGCTAAAAACGAATCTGCCACCATGGATTTCAGGTCCTTAGCTCCCTTTAGCCCCTTCACTTAAATTATATACTCCTAAACAGAGCCCAAGGAAGGCAAAATCCCTCAAGATAAAAGATATTGTATTTGTTTCAACAGAAATGCCTAGTGTAAATTTTCTACGAAATATATCCACCATTGTTATTTAAAAAAAAAATCAGTAAACCTTATTTGATAACTGAACAATGCATTCCTCAAGCGCTGTCTGGAATTTGGTGCCCCATTTTGACATATCCTCGCTCAAACCTGTATTGACAATTGTACACTGCATACTTCTTCGTAAATGTCTGACAAGATCATTTATAGTGCTGATAATTGCCAGAGAAGTCTGAGGTTTTGAGTGCTCAGCAAGACAAGTGGCAACATTGATCATGTTTATCTGCATTTCTGGTTGTTTCTGGACTGCCTTGTGGTCAAGATGCTTGACCAGCATGGATAACAAGAAATGCGTGTTTTGCCCTGGAACAAAGAAGAGGTATAAAATATGCATTACAAGCTAAACCATATTTCCTTCAATGTAGATTAACATTTTGTTACTATCTGCTGTGAAGATAGAAGAATAATAAAAAGAAGATGAAAAAAATCAACTTGCCAGATTTTTCCATTATCCTTTGCAAATCAAGCAAGACCAAAAGAGCAAGCCCATTTGCAGGTGACCACAAATTACCACTATCAAGATATCGAAAGATAGACTCCAAAACATGCCGAACAGTACTTGCTTCCCTGGCTAGCATGGCCATGTTATGCACACAAACCTTTGACCAAAACCTGGGGCTCTTGGACTCATCTCTGTTCAAGAAAAAGTTAGTGTATTCCTAACTAGTAATTTGTTAATGTCAAAAGGAATTGTCTCGGGATAAAAATGCATACAGTGTCAAACAAAGTTCTCCCTTATCATTTACAAGGTTCTTCCAAGAGAGAAGCCTTGCATATTCCCCAAGATTAGGAGACACGTGACCTTCAGCCTTGAGGACTTCTTGGACCCATTTGTTCTGGGTACCTTGCTCAGAATCTTGAACACCTTCTGAACTTAGATGAGCATGTCCATAATTTTCCAAGACAACTGTAACAACCTACAAATTAAAATATTTATTAGTATCTTTAGACTATATAAATGACTAAAGAAAAAGGCCCGATAACACAAAAAGACCATTTGACATAAAAATAGAAAGAAACATTAAAAGGATCTGAAGAATGAAACGGAAAAAAAATCAAAAGAAAACTGTTCAAGGAGGCCGTTTGGTATTTAGTATGAATATCCAAAGCTTATTTTGAAGAGTACTTTTTTAGATCTGTTATAAATAAACAACATAGAAAAGCTGAGTACATTGATGACGACAACAAGCATAATTCAATTCTTAGGTCCTTGTTCATGCCCTCTCCAACAATACGTGAAAGAATCATTACATCAAAGCACTGCTACATAGTAAAAACATTTCTCATAGTTTTGATAAAGAAAAATTTATGATCTAGAAGATCAAATCTACTAGTACCTAGAGTGAACCTAAACAATGAAGTTCATAGTTAGCATCATGCATAAATTGTATCAAGTTTCAACATTAGCAAATTGATAACTTACATTGTCGAACTCTCCAGATACATGAGAGTATTCACCCATAAACCAAATCTGAAAATGATACAAGAAGAATCATCAGAGTATATACACGGAGTAACAACTGTATGAACAAAAGGAAGAGCCTAAAACATAACACATTCGACGAAACAGGGGGACAGAATTACATGCTACAAATAAAGTGCACTGTCAATGAGAATATTGTGAATTTCAAAACAAGCACAAGTTTCTTATGTATAACATAGATTTTAAATATATCCTATAGTTTTATGAGTTATGCGTGAAGCAGATTTTCGACAATTTCCAACCAAATAAGCCATGATAAAGCAAAACATAAAACTCAACAAAAAAACATTATCAACATATCCTAAAACATTGACTTGACTAGCATACTTATCCACAGATCCAGGTTAAATAAAAAACCTACCAACCAAATTCTCCAGAATTAAAGATGAAACGAGGCATAGAAAATCCAATCCATAAATGTTCTTATAAAAATTGTATTAACCACTACTACTAAATCTCTTTAGGATCATTAAAACAAGCACCATACAAAATTTCAAGAACTTCTAAGAACATTTGATCATTAACCGAACACAAAAATTTTATTATGGATATTTTTAAATGCACAGTTAAATTAGTATGATTTTTTATTTGTAAAATCTTTCAGATGTCCTGGAATTATATACAAGGGTTTCTAATGATATGTGGAAGGACTTTGATGGCATTGATTGGTGACAAAAATGAGTAGGACTATACTTTAGTGAACTTATACATGTCGGTGGATTAATGATTAAAGTAGTATGAAAAATGATAAAAGACAAGCCGTATAAGCTTTTCACACTATAAATAAAAATTTATGGTGTGATCTTGAGCAGTGGTCGGGTGTGAGTATTCTAGCCATAAGACAGAAATTACTATGAAGGATCAGTTACTGTGAAGGATTTGGAAAATTTAGGTGGAGTAAGAAGCAGAAGAAAATTAAAGGAACAAGTATATGGTAATCATTTTTGGTATATTCATAGTTGTCTTTTAGATTTCCAAAAAAGGTGATAAAAGTTTCTAAAGCAACTATACCTAATTGTATTTTAGGATTCATTAGGTATTATGCCAAAGGGAAGTTTTGAGGTAAATTATTATGTTAATGTAAGTGATTTTATACAATTTATTTGAGTAATAAATTGTGGAATTATTAGAATTAGAGTGATGAATTATAGGTACTTACAAACGAAAAAGAGTACAATGTGGAGGATTTGAGGAAACAACTCTTCAAGGAGGCAAATAATGGAAGTTTAAATTAAAAAGTGTATGTTGTTATTTTTGTAAACATATACACTAGTATTTAATGAAAAATTAGGGAAATAGTTATAAAAAGGGAATGATGTTATTAATGCATGGGAACAGCCAAGTATTCATGTATGAGCAAACATATGCAAATTTAAATGATTCAGTCTTGAATTAAGATGTAATCTGATTATTTAATACTTTTCTTAGTTGGAAAGATTTTGGAAAGAAATTCAATTTTATATATCATATATATTCTCTTTATGCAAACGATATAACATATAGACTGTTATGAAAGTAAGCAACAATATAAAGCAAATATGAATTACAAATATTTGAAGTTTACTGAATATCAAATTAGGAAATGTTGGCTATAAAATGATATGATGCCTGTGTTGTAGGTGGGGCAAAAGAGACCTCAGAGATATGATAATTGTGTTGTAGGTGGGGCAAAAATGACTCCAGATATATGATACATACACAACAGGTGGGGGCAAAAGGGATCACTACGTTATGTAGTTCAATGATGATAATGTCTGGTTTACCTGAACTCTATTGAACATTATTATGAAAGCTAACAATATGAAAATGATAGTCAAATCCTTAGAGAACTAATTATGATATTATGTACAAACTTCAAATGAATGTAAGAATGATTCTAAATATGATTTTATGTGGTTTTGTAAATAATGATAAGTTTGATTCAGTTATGATTTCAATATTGTTACTTCTATAATCTTGAATTTAAATTTTTATTTAATTTGCATAATGTTATGCCGGTCCAGCATGGACCGGCTCAACCTGGACCGGCCCAGCCGGTCCGG